GCTGCAGGTCATCTACCCAAACCTCAAAGTCAATGGTCGGACCCTCAGCGTCAAAAGCGAGAACACTGGGGGTAGCCATGACAGCAGTAGACTAGCAGTACCAACTGTAGGAGAGGGGCAGTGTAGTGACAGAAGCGCTGCTCTCACCAGACAGGGCGGTTCGGGCAGCTCAGCAGCACAGCAACACGGCAACACGGCTGCTCGGACGGCGCAGCAGCAACTGCGGCTCCGTGGCACCAACGGCTCGGTTCCTCAGTGGCTCGGGCGTCTCGGGCGGGTCGGGCGGCTCGGGCGGCTCGGGCGGCTCAGGCGGCTCGGGCAAGGCGGGCGGCTCGGGCGGCTTGGGCGGCTTGGACGGTTCGGGCGGCTCGGGCGGCTCGGGCTGCGTAGCGTTTCGGGCGGCTCGGTGGTGTAGGGCGGCAGGGTACTGGTAGGGCGGCGGGGCCGCAAGGTAGGTGGCGGGGTCGCATTGAGAGGGGGGGCGGCGGGGCCGCAGCGAAGGGTGGCGGGGCCGGAAGGTAGGTGGCCGAGCCGCAGCGAGAGGGGCGGCGGGGCCGTAACGAGAGGGGCGGCGGGGCCGCAGTGAAGGGCGGCGGAGCCGCAAGGGAGTCGGCGGGGCCGCAGCGAGAGAGGCGGCGGGGCCGCAGCGAAGGGCGGCGGGGCTGCAGCGAAGGGCGGCGGAGCCGCAAGGGAGTCGTCGGGGCCGCAGCAAGAGAGGCGGCGGGGCCGCAGCGACGGGTGGCGAGGCCGCAGCGACGGGTGGCGGGGCCGCCGTGAAGGGCGGCGGGGCCACAACGAAGGGCGTCGGGGCCGCCGTGAAGGGCGGCGAGGCCGCAGCGAAGAGCGGCGGGGCCGCAGTTAGAGGCGGCGGGGCCGCAGCGTAGATCGGCGGGGCCGCAGCAAAGGGCGGCGGGGCCGCAGCAAAGGGTGGCGGGGCCGCAGCGAAGGGCGGCGGGGCCGAAGCGAAGGACGGCGGGGCCGCTAGGGCGATGGGGCCGCTAGGGCGATGGGGCCGCTAGGGCGGCTCGACGAAGTGAGAGACCGGAGCGCGACTCGGGCTCAGTGCGCTCCGAGCAGGAAAAAAAAGGTTCGATGTGGTGGGCCCTAGGCACAGTTCCCACGAGGAAGTTAGAACGAGAATGAAATGACTAAGTGAAAGTTGGGTACAAATACAAACCCTTGAAAACTGTACCCCATATGTGCTACCCCACTATTGTCACAATGTTATCTTATGTTCTAGCCTGTAGTGGGGTGCTCTATAGCGAGTACAACCCTTCTAGGGTTTGCTATTTGTATCCCCACTTCTGCTAGTTCAATCCTCTTTCTTTCTTCCAACTTTATCATGCTATCAGAGCAGGTCGATCCCCTTGGATCGATCCTGTGGGTGGGTTACCACCTCCACGCTTCCGCTACCATTTTTTCTGCCCGCCGTGCGCCCCGAGGCGCGCGGCGGTTTTCTGCCCGCCGTGCGCCCCGAGGCGCGCGGCGGTTTTCTGCCCGCCGTGCGCCCCGAGGCGCGCGGCGGTTCTCTGCCCGCTGTGCGCCCCGAGGCGCGCGGCGGGCTTCTGCCCCGTCGTTCGCCGCGTCGCCCTCTGGAGGCGCCGCGACGGGCGACGGGGACCCGTCGCGGCCCCGCCGCCCCACCATCGCGGCCCCGCCGCCGACCTGTCGCGGCCCCCGCCGCCCCACCATCGCGGCCCCGCCACCGACCTGTCGCGGCCCCGCCACCTCCGGTCGCGGCCGCGCCACCTTCTGTCGCGGCCCCGCCACCGACCTGTCGCGGCCCCGCCGCTTTCCTTCGCGGCCCGTCGCCCTACTCGTCGCGGCCCCGCCCCCCCCCCCCCCCCCCCCCCCCCCTCCCCCCCTTTTCCCGTCGCCCGTCGCGGCTCCTTCGGGGGCCGCTGTGGGGTGGCGGGTATGGGGGTGGCCGGTGTGCATTCCTCCCTTTGCTCCTCCTCCTCCTTCGTCTCCCACTGTTGCAGCTGTCGCTGAGGGGGGTGGATGTGTGGGAGACTGAGTTTAGGGTTTAAGGGGGGTGCGTGGGAGTGGAGCTAGCGGTGTAGCAGTGGGTGTGTATCAGGGGGGTGGGACTGTCTGCGGGAGGTTGAGTGGAGGCTGCCAGCTTGTTGTCCGCAGCACCTGTAGTCCGGGGCGTTGTCCCGGTAGCCCAGTGAGCTTGTCGCTGCGCCAGTCGCCTGTGGGTCCGTTGCCCGTCTGCCGCTGCTTAAGCCGCGGGGCCTGTTGCTCCTGTAGTCCGGGCGCTTAGTCCGGTAGCCACTGTGCTCGCCACTCCTGTTGCCTGTGTGTCTGCAGCTTCAGCCGCCGCCTTCTATCTCCTCTCCTCTCACTCTTTCTCCTCCTCCTCACTTGCCCGTTGTGACTACCACTAGCTTTGCTCATAATTGTGCACTCTAAACTATTTCTTCTTGAACTTGTGCTCAGAATGTGTGGTGACATTGTGATCCACCCTGAGCTTGTACTGCTTTGCCTGCTCTGCTAATTACACCCCACTTTGGCTATGGGGGTGTGTCAGAATGTTATCTCATGTTCTAGCCTGTAGTGGGGTGCTCTATAGCGAGTACAACCCTTCTAGGGTTTGCTATTTGTATCCCCATTTCTGCTAGTTCAATCCTCTTTCTTTCTTCCAACTTTATCAACTATAGCCTACAATAGCTATGTCATATAAATCTGACATCTTGATGATGTTGCTGTAAGACAGTACATAGAACGTATCATGTATGCATCAAATGTTAGAAATGCTGCATTCAAATCAGAAGTAGGAGCAATCATTAAAATAGTGAAAAATTGGTTGTGATACAAAAAACATTGAATAGAATTTACAAAAAATACATTGGTAAACATAAGCAATTATCATATTACAACCTTGGTATGCTGAACAATCTGGCACAATTTCAATGCTGATAGTATGAATCCGTTCTTGTTTTCCCTCCTGATATAAATAATAGAATGAAGAACAACATCACTGTCCATAAGACCTAGAAGATTGTATGACAAAATAAAAATAAAAAAACGTTTGAAAAAAGCATTAACAAGCTAGCAATTTCACTATATAACCACAAAAACTTCAAATGCAGACTTTGAGCTCTGTGCAGCCTGAAGTTAAGATGCTGATGTAAACCAATTGTTGATGCCTGATAAGAAGCACGTCCATGAATAACAAAAACAAGGTGTTTTAGTATATGTTGGTAAATGCAAGAACATAGAAGTCAATGCATTAGGATAATAAAAACATACAAGAATTGAGCTCGACTTTCTTCTAGATAGATATGCTAGGGTATACTCTGAAAAGTGATCAAAGTTGAGAGTAGCTGGAAGAGTTTGAAATAGAGTAGTTAACTAAAGAAGGTAATATCTCAACTCACTTAATAGGTAGCAAGAGAGAACCAAGAAGAGTTATCACTAGATAAAAGAGAGCTTGAAGAGTTATCACTAGGTACCTTGAATGTGACCACTAGCAGAGCTTGAAGAGTTATCACTAGATAAAAGAGAGCTTGAATGTGTTGTGAGGAAGAACAATGAAACAAGCTCCAAGAAAATGTGGAGTTTGGTTTGAGAAGGAGAAGGATGGGAAAGAAATGGAGAAAGGGCTAGAGGGTTTGCTTTGGGAAGAGAGAAGTGGAAGAGCCTTTCTTGATTGGATACAAAGTTGACTAATGGTAAGAGAATTGTTACTGTGCAGTGGAAACAAAAAAAACAGTTGGAAGCATTGAGCTAGAAACAAAACAGCCAATTGAACAATGTTGTTTGTTTTGTTTCTAGTTCATAGTTCATAACAAGTTGGCCTTTGTAGTGAGATGGGTCTCAGCCACAGTCAATTTCATAACAAGTTGGCCTTTGTAGTTTATGGCACTAGAGATAGCATGGCATATGAAACTGAAACAGTTGGAGTCGGATCTTTCCGCAATCAGATCGGTCCTGATTTTTACAGTTACTACCGTAGAAAACGACACCTTGAAACCGCGTCAACAACGCCGACAGCTGGCAGAACCAAAAACATCAATTGGTGTTATTCCTTTGAGCACTGTTTTTACAGCTGTCAAACAACTGTCACCGTTTTGAGAGCTGTCAAAATGCTGTGGTGTTTCTTACTGTCGAAACAGTTAGAAACAGTTGGGCAGCCTTGCAACCACTAAAGTCGCACGCGATATAATTGCGGGCTGACGTCAACAGCGTCGCCTGAAATTTCGCGCGCAAGAAATTTCGGGCTGACGTCAGCAGCGACGTTCGAATCGCAGCGACGTCAGAAATTGCAGCTGACGTCAGCTGCGTCGCCTGAGGTTTCGCGCGCAAACAATTGCAGCTGACGTCAGCTGTGTCTCTCGAAATTTCTCGGGAGTTTTTTAATGAGGTCAGCTTCAACGCTAGGATATTTCTGCGTAGCATCTAATCAACACTGCTGACGTCATCGCGCAATGAAGGCAGCAGCACTCTCCCTAGTGAAAACGATTGATAACTGGAAATATAAAAAACAGATCTACAACTAATTCTGTTTGTATACTTCCATTATATCCCAGCCCTATCATTCATACAAACCATCATCATCAATTTGGTTCAAGGTTAAACAAAAAAAGGAAAAAAAAAAATAACATACGAAATCGAGTTTCGTATCAAAAGATAAAAGAACACGTTTTTTTTAATCCAAATATAACGACAACATTAAGGTCGTTCAAACTTCAAACGCATGTTACAATTGTTGCTTCGCAACCCTAAGACGATTTCGTCGCCTCTTGTTTTTTTTTTTTGCCTTACAATCTCATGAAGCCTCAGTGTGATTGAAAAAGAAAGGGAATGGAGAAAGAAAGGGAGAAGGAAAATGAAACTCCCAAAAAGAACCCAAATGCAACACACATAAAACCCCCCCTCAAGATACCCAATCAAAACGCCCAGTCAAGACACCCCATCAAGACATCCCATCCCACGCCCCATCCCTACCCCCCCCCCCCCTCCTCCACCCGCCCCCCCCTCCACCCCCCCCCCAATCACGTCAACGTATCGACCATGTACGGGGCCTCCACCCAGAGAGCCCCGCCTTCCACATTGACATCGTCCCTCTCCCGATCCGCCAAATCTACGTTAATCCCCCCCATGGAAGACGCCGCTCGAAGCAGGATGACACGGGCTTGCGCACGTTGTAACGCCACCCCGATGAGCGCCTTCAGTGACCCTAAAAGATAAGCCGAAAACACAGAGTCGTCCTCTCGACAAGCCCCCCGCGACACAGCTAGCCCCACGTGCACACCCCCCTGCTCACGAAGCCTCCGCTGAAAACGACCGCCGAGACACCCCCACGTCTCAACTATCAAAGGGGTGAACTGCACGCCCCGATTGCGTGCAAGCAGAGGCGCGTAATCACTCGTTTTGCGACGCTCCCATTCCCTTGCCGCCACACCTATTTGACGCCCGCAGTGTCCCAGCAGTGATGGAGACAGCGATAGCGGGTCCGCGACGCTGATCTCTAGGGCGTGAGCCTCTCCAGCCATTGGACGTCGCACCGCCACATCAACCCGCTTCCCTTGCAGCACCACACTATCCTCCAATGTCACCACCCCCCCCGACGCCTTAGAGATCTTTGCCACCGCAAACTTCACCTCATCATGCACCCGAGAAGGACCATGTTGGTGCCTGCATCTCAGGGCATGGTGCGGGTCTGCTGGGTCAACATACGCTGTGCCACAAACACACCTCCCCGCCACTTGCAGCTGCTGAATTGGGAGGCCGAGCCGTATAGCAGCAGCAATGCCCCACTCAGCCGTAGTGAATGTGAGATCTGAGTGAGCCGGAACCGCCGAAACCCATGCACCTGCCCCCGGGCCCTGAAGGGATGTGAAACGGGCCAAGGTAGCATCGTCACGAGCCAAGCGGCGCAGTGCTTAGAGCTCCTCTACAGCCAACTGCCGCTGATGCGCCTGGAAAAGCCGAACAGGAGGGGCCGCTACACACACAGGTAAGCCCGGTATCTCGTGGCGGATAGTCGCTGGCAACTGCTCGAGAGCCTTGACAAACCACGGGTCAAGAAACTCTGCCCCTGTCGAAGTGGTGAGGTACTCAACAAACATCGCCTCCTCGCCCGCCACCCCTAACTGTGCAATGTCACGCGCGGCCTGCGCCCACCCGCAAACATAGCACAGTGGGCTCAAAGAGGCCGCCGCCCGGATCCCGAACCCGCCGAGACGCACAGGGAGATGCAGCTGCATGCGTGCGCGCCTAGACCGGTCGGGGTCCTGCTCCCAAGTGCCAGGTGGGAAAAGCCGCTCAAAGCAATCCTCTAAACAGTTGTCCCAATCCCTAAAAGCCTCAACCACCTCCGGACGCGGTGGCATAGTCCGGGCGAGGTACATCGGCCGCGCTGAAACTGCAATGGCGAGGAGGTGTGAAGCCGTCTGGGGGTGGTCGAGCAAGGGGAGCCATGGCAGTGGCGCCTGCAACTGTCGAAGCCGCTCTCGTAGCCGGACCACCTCCCAAACCTCCTCTCCAATAGACACGCCCACCACAGTAAGACCCTCATCCACCCGCTGCATCCCCAATGGCAGTGCCCGCTCCACCCCCTTGCCCTCGCGCTCCCAAAACCGGCACTTGTGCGCCTGCACCTCCAGCCCCACCCACTCCAACCGCTCCCGCAACACCCCAAAAGCCTCCAGAATCCTAGCCGCTGGCCCCAAAATATATGTATCGTCTGCATAGCTGAGGAAAAGCAGGTCCTTGAACTCCCTAGTAATCGGCTCCATCACTTGCTGCTGCGTGAATGCAAAAAGAAAAAGGCCGAGCGGGTCCCCCTGCCTCGATCCCCGTGCTGACTCGAGGCTCTGTACGAAAGGGCCTGCTCGGAGGTACAGGTCGCTAGGTGTCCCATAAAAGACACGCAAGAATGGGATCATCCCTAAGAAAGGCGGCTCCCGCAGCCCATCGAACATCACATGACGGTGAAACGAATTGAAGGCGTTTGCGACGTCTATCTATAGCGCACACCAGTCAGGGTGAGTGGCCAGCGCTGACCGGAAAGAATGAGTGAGAATCTCCGCCCCGACCCTAGTGCCCGCTCCCAGCTGGTTGCATGGCAGGAAGTAGGAAACCATCGCAGGGCGGAGCGAGATGCAGAGAGCACAAGCAAGGATACGAGGAAGCACCTCCCCGATCGCCACCGGCCGGACGTCGCCGTTAGGCTTGGAAAGCCCGACTAGGTTGGATGCGGCGAGCCACGACCGAGCCTGCTCGGGGACCTGTCCCGCCACCCATTGGTTGAACACTTCCAACAGGTGGGAAAGGCAGGTAGGTTCAGTGAGGAAGGTGTCGCGCAGATGCTCTGTGACCCACCCCGATGGCCCTGCTGCTGAGGCTCGAGCGGCTATATGGATAGCTTTGGCCAGGATGTCGGTCGTGAGTGAAGGCCACTGAGCGGTATCGATGGTGAAATCGCGGACCCCCTATGGTACCTCGCCTGCGCTAGCCGGGTGCTTCTCTCGCAGCGACTGCACCATGACCTCAGACGGTCGGGCCAACTCCCCTGCTGTAAGGCAGGCCAATCCTCGGCTCCACTCCCCCACTTTGCACCGAGATCGGCACCGTGACAGGCGGATGGCATCCGGATCCTGGTCAGAGTGAGTGTAGGAAAGTGGGCGAACTGCTGGCCGCGTTGCCGCCATGGCAGAGTCGAACAGCTCCCGCCACCTCCCCTCCCAGAACACACCCAACCGCTCTGTGACCAGCGCCTTCTAACCTATGCCTGGCTTTGGAGGCACGGCTAGGATGAGGCGCGGAAACGCCAAGAGTAGGAGGGTAGCGGTTTCATCTCCCGGCTGGCTCTTCAAGCGCTTAAGGATGCAACAGAGCGCGTCTAAGACCCACGACCTGGCCCGCTATGGGATCCGGCGAACTGTCCTCCCTCCAACCGCCTCCACACTGAAAAATGTTTCCCATTCCCATGACGTAACCCCAGCTCACGCCTCGTCCCCAAATTCCCGCGGCGTCGATCGCTCCTGCGTGTTGGTCTCCACCAGAGACGGAATCGAGCCAAGAGCCTGGGCACGCCTCTCCGCCTCAGCCGCTCGGCATACCCTCATGTGGTTCACTGCGGCCCCCCGCGTAGCGAAAGTGTGGAAACACGTGTCGCATGGGAAGCGGGGGCATGGGGAAGGCGGCAAGGGAGGTTCTTCGTCCGCCTCTGACTCCTCTGCAGTCGCCATGGGGGTATCAAGCTCCAGAAGTCGACACCACTCCTCCAATTGTTGCTCCTGGTCGTCCATCAATCGCCCCCCTGCTTGCTGCGCTCCTTGGGGTGCCCAGGGCACCCTCGGCTGCCCCCATGGCTGCTGCACTCCGTGGGGTGCCCCGGTCGCCCCCGACTGTCCCCCTGCCTGATGCTCTCCCTGGGGTGCTCTGGGCACCCTCGGCTGCCCTCCTGCCTGCTGCACTCCCTGCCCTCCTGCCTGCTGCATTCCCTGGGGTTCCCCAGGCACCTTCAGCTGCCCTCCTGCCAGCTGCACTCCCTGGGGTGCTCCGGTCACCCCCGGCTGCTCCCCTGCCTGCTGCTTGCCCTGGGGTGCTCGGGTCACCCCCGGCTGCCCCCCTAGCTGCTGCTCCCCCCGGGGTGCTCCGGTCACCCCCGGCTGCCCCCCAGCCTGCTGCTCTCCCTGGGGTGCTCCAGGCATCCTCGGTTGCCCTCCTACCTGCTGCACTCCCTGGGGTGCCCCGGGCACCCTCGGCTGCCCTCCTGCGTGCTGCACTCCCTGGGATGCCCCGGGCACCCCCGGCTGCCCTCCTGCCTGCTGCACTCCCTGGGGTGCTCCGGGCACACCTGGCTCCCCACCTGCCCGCTGCACTCCCTGCGGTGCCCCGGGCACCCTCGGCTGCCCTCCTGCCTGCTGCACTCCCTGGGGTGCTCCGAGCACCCCCGGCTGCCCCCCTGCCTGCTGCACCCCCTGGTGTGCCCCGGGCACCCTCGGCTGCCCTCCTGCCTGCTGCACTCCCTGGGGTGCCCCGGGCACCCTCGGCTGCCCTCCTGCCTACTGCACTCCCTGGGGTGCCCCGGGCACCCTCGGCTGCCCTCCTGCCTGCTGCACTCCCTGGGGTGCTCCGAGCACCCCCGGCTGCCCCCCTGCCTGCTGCACCCCCTGGGGTGCCGCGGGCACCCTCGGCTGCCCTCCTGCCTGCTGCACTCCCTGGGGTGCCCCGGGTACCCTCGGCTGCCCTCCTGCCTGCTGCACTCCCTGGGGTGCCCCGGGCACCCTCGGCTGCCCTCCTGCCTGCTGCACTCCTTGGGGTGCCCCGGGCACCCCCAGCTGCCCCCCTGCCTGCTGCACTCCCCGGGGTGCCCCGGGCACCCCCGGCTGCCCCCCTGCCTGCTGCACTCCCCGGGGTGCCCCGGGCACCCCCGGTTGCCCCCCTGCCTGCTGCACTCCCTGGGGTGCCCCGGGCACCCCCGGCTGCCCTCCTGCCTGCTGCACCCCCTTGGGTGCCCCGGGCACCCTCGGCTGCCCTCCTGCCTGCTGCACTCCCTGGGGTGCCCCGGGCACCCTCGGCTGCCCTCCTGCCTGCTGCACTCCCTGGGGTGCCCCGGGCACCCCCAGCTGCCCCCCTGCCTACTGCACTCCCTGGGGTGCCCCAGGCACGCCCAGCTGCCCCCCTGCCTGCTGCAATCCCTGGGGTGCCCCGGGCACCCCCTGCTGCCCTCCTGCCTGCTGCACTCCCTGGGGTGCCCTGGGCAACTCTGTTTTACAAGTAAACGCTTTCTCTGCATTATCCTAAAAAGCACTACGATTGCTGGAACATGGCGCTGGCATTTGTGACTGAAACAAGATATCGTCTCAATAACTCGTCGCACACACATCAGGTGAAATGGAAATTCGTGTGAGTGCAGAGACTTAGCGAACACGAACCTGGATCTTCCATTTATCAACGCTGGATTATTCGTCTGCCTAGAGCGATATGCGAACGAGAGCCGATGGAATTGCAGAAGCTGGTATCCGTTGAAACGCTACTAAGGGATGTTACAATTTTTAAATTTGGCTGGAGTCCGGACAACCGTCCGAGAACGGTTCAGATTCCGAATCTCGGGCAGTACGAGTCCAACGTCCAGACTAAACCTCGTCCGACGTTGTAGATGAAACATTTTCAACCTGACGAAAATTCGAATGTTTGCGAGGTTGTAACCACAATTACGAACAAATTACGAGAAAGGTAACAGCAAAGCGACTTGAAGACTTGAATCGTTGACCAATGAATTTTCGTTACTTTTAGGTCCGTCCACTAATCGAACTGTAATCCTCCGGTCGATTTGGGAAGGCAATACGCGCAAAATGTTCCATCACCAGTCCGATTGTTAACGACGTCGCAAGTGGTCTAGCGAGGTAGTTCACGAAACACAACGAAAGGGTAACCACACAAAAGTCCGGACCACAGCCTGTCCGGACAGACTGAAGTAAAAAATGTAACACGCCCTAATCTCGTCACATTCTTCGCGGGAATGGCGCTCCCTAGACAGTCTCAAGATTGGTTTGCACGGGAATTGGCAAATGCTGCTTGTCGGGGTCTCAAATTTCAAACCAAGCTAAACTCTAAATTCACTGGAGGTACCGTTTCCACACCTGATACAGTGATATAAGGGCGTGTAACTTTTTTGCATTTTGTGATTTTGACGTACCGTCCGATTATGTGGAATCGGACGGTACGTTTATACCGAAACAGACTGTCCGATTTGAATGTTTGCAACTTAGGACGGTACGAATGCAGATGTGTCACTTTTTCCACATGCTAGGGTTCCGCGATGGTTTTCCCTTCGCCATGTCAAATGTACACCAGTAACGCCAGTCACAACCCATCGCTATTTTCGCTGGTGGATTTCAGCGCTTCGGACAAACATAGGAAATTTTCAAACAACCACAAAGGCCTTCCACACCAAGCCCTTCGTGGGTAATTCTCGTGGCTTCTTGTATTGAAGTGATGCTAGTTGTGATTGGTCAATGTCCCTTTTTGCATCCGAGTCGCATTTTCCCATTTTTTGGCGAGGCGGTCCGCTGAAATCCAAATTCGCCCGCCAATCGCGTGCGCGGACAGGCGGACAGTCCGTTTGTGATTCGGACCGTCCGTTGTCAGAGTTTCGTGTCGTTGGAAAGAGGAAAAAGTGACAGGACGGTTCGAGTTTGTAGCGACGTCGCACACATCCTTGCGAAAAACTGCACGACATCAAACGAGAATGGTACCCTTCGCATCTACGTACGGTCCACGGTTCGTTCCGTCGAGTGCAAAATAGTTACACGCCCTAAGTCGGGAATTTGGTGCTTGTTTCGCAACGCAGCCTGTCTCGCGAGGGAGATTTTCGACACGAGGTTATGCTGGTGTTCTTTGTACTGCACCTCGAGGACCTCTGCACGAGCCTGCCATGGATGCATCGCTACAAGCATATTGCTGTTTCAGATTCAGAGAAATCGAGTGGGCTTTGCTGCTAAAATTACACGTACGTACCCCAAAACAGGTGGGTGGGGGGGCTTTGGGTTCAGGGCTCTATCCCCAGCACACACCCCGCCCGTGTGGATAAATTCAGTAAGCAAGGCTGTTGTTTCTCAAACAAGCGTCGTCCTCCACATGCGCCCCTTTCTTGGACTCTTTCATTGTTCACTAACGCGCAGAGCTGATCGTAAAACGCGTTGAGGTTTTCTCAGCATCCTTAGGGGCCATCGCGCTTCGGCGCTGTCCGTTTCACTACCTTGGTCCACAGCAAGGAACGGTCTCGCAGACGCGATCGAGACGCGGGGAGGTTTTGAGAGAGACGTGCAAATAAGTCTTTTTTGGAATCACCAACGTTTTATTGCAAAAACCAGCAGACAGGCATTTGTTGCGCAAAGATCCACTGATTTTGAGGCGCACGAGCGGCGCCATTGAGTCGACTCACAGGCATCGCACAGGAACCGCACAGGGATCGCGCAGACATCGCACACGCATCGCACAGGAGCCGCACAGGGATTAATCGAGAAGGGAGTCGCGGCCCATTAAGTCGCACGAGCGGCTGCCGCGATGGCGCGAGGGCGCGCAGCGGGCGCGCGGGGAGGGGCAGCGACGCGCGGGGCAGGGAGGGGCGGCGCAGGAAGGGGAGCGGTAGACGCAGGCGGGGTAGCGATGGGCGGGGTAGCTGCGGGCTGGGAAGCGGCGTTGGGGATGGCGGCGGGAGGGGTCGCGGCGGGCGAGGTGGTATCGCCGTCGGAAGTGCTACCTGTGGGAGGCGGCATCTCCCCGTGGTGCATGCACGTGCACACCGTGCTCGGCACGCGCCTGCTCGTGCCCGTCGCTCCCACCGCCGCCATCGGCGACCTCCTCCGTGCGTGGCCCTCGCGCTCCCCGTCTCCCCCGTCCCCTCATCCCCCCTGTCCCCCCCATCTTCCTCGTCCCCCCTGTTCCCGCCGTCCTCCCTGTCCCCCACGTCCTCCTCGTTGCCCTCGTCTCCCGCATGTCCTTCGCGAAGGCCCTCGGTAAATCCCTATGTTCTCCGCCTCTTCTCCATGGTCGCGCGCCACGTCCTCCTCGTTGCCCTTGTCTCCCGCATGTCCTTCGCGAAGGCCCTCGGTAAATCCCTATGTTCTCCGCCTCTTCTCCATGGTCGCGCGATTAGCACGCAGCAACTTCGTCGTCCTTCTCCCCGTCGCCCATCCTCGCTCTCGCCCTCCAACCCCCCGTGAATGCGATCCCCCTCCTCCTTTCCACCCGCACACGCACACTGTCGGAGTGGTCGACGGTCGACATAGACACAGCACACAAACAGACACTCGCTCGCTGCACTCCCCATCCGACATCCACGTTGCACTCCCCATCCGACATCCACGTTGCACTCCCCATCCAACATCCTCGTTGCACTCCCCATCCGACATCCTCAAGCCCTACGTTGGTATTTCCACGCCTTAAGCATCACGCCTTCAACCCCGCTCTTATTTTGTTTGCGCCTTCATCCCTGCCCCTTTAACCCTAGCCTTAAACCGCACCTTGAACCCTGCACCTTAAACCCAGACCTCCTTACACCCTGCACTTTAAACCCTGCGCCTCAAATCCTACACCTTAATCTCTGGATGCATCCTGACACCCACAGGACATGTTGAGCCGCGGTGCAAGGGGGTTGATCGCCTGTCCTGGCGGATCCACGTTTTTCTTTTCTTACCAGCAATGAGCACCTGCGTTCCGCTTTTCTCTCAGTGCACATCCCTCCCCCTTTATTCCCCTTTCGCTTCTTCGCTACCTTTTTGCCTCTTCCCCACCCTTTCCCTCGTCCTCTTCCTCCTCCTCCTCCTCCCCCTCCCCCTCCCCCTCCCCCTCCTCCTCCTCCTCCTCCTCCTCCTCCTCCTCCTCCTCCTCCTCCTCCTCCTCCTCCTCCTCCTCCTCCTCATCTTCGTCCTCCCTCTTTTCATCACTCCGCTCATGTCTCCCGCACTTCCTCCCCCACGGCTGGATGGCAGGCATGGTGGGGCAGCAGCACGAGCACATACACCCGCACATGGGGAGCATTCGTTTCGAGTCCGCCAAGGTGTGTGTTCCCCCCTCCTCAGGCCGGGCACTAAGGAGCACTTCATGCCCGCAGCGTCGCACCTTACAGTTACAGAGAGAACATGCTCCAAGCATCAAGTGCTCGTTAGACCCTTCCCTTCCCTGGATGTCGTCTGCCCAACTGCCTGTCTGCAGCACTCAAATCGTCAGCCGAGCGCTAAGTCGACCCTGTTTCGCAGAACCCTGAACCATGCCTCAAGCCGCGAGCCTCCCCTCCCCTCCCCTCACAAAAGAACACCACACCATGCTTGCAGAATGCACTTCCCAGTTTGTTTCCTGTGGTTTCCTTCAATCCAGAACTGTTTTTTATGCGCCTCAGCCCAACTCGTCTTGCACAGTCTCCTTGAACCCACTCACCCTAGAACTGCAGCAGTGGAGCAATCAGGCCTGGGTTGGTCAGGGTCTGGTTAAGGCCTGGGTTAAGGTCTGGTTGCCTGCAGTCGACTTCTACTGGAGCCACCCCTCCTTTTCCCTGAGAAACTCAGCCAAACTGCATCCCATCAAGGCGCTCCCCCTTAAACCCTCCCCTCTCGCTCCTCATTGTCCAAACTTCCCGAAACGTTAACTCTGAACTCCAAAACCTCTCCTCTCCGTCGACCTCTCTACTCTCCTCATCTCATCCCCGTGACCCCGTCCTCTCCCCTTCTCAACCCCTGGTACTCTCCATGCTCGCCCATCAGGTGCTGCGCCAGGCCGCCCTGTTTGATGTCGCCCTGCAATTCAAACTAGCCGACGTGTTGAAGCCTGATGACGTCATCCTTGCTTTTACTGGAGATGCTGACGTTGCTGCTGATGTCAACGGTGAGCTTTCATGGGCTCTTATTGGTTGAAAGTGCCATTTCTCTGTGTCACACCTCGTCCTTGCTAGTTTCTTTGTTTTTTGCATTTTTTGTGCTCTTCTTTCTTTTGTAACTACCATTCTGGGCTGGGCCGAGCCCGCATCTCATGTGAGTCACACAGTAAATATCCACTTGGCTGCATCGGTCCGCCATTTAATAAAGCCTCTTTCCGTGGAGATGCCGTTGGATGCTTTTTCATGTTTCTACTCTTGCAGCACAAAATGTGAACCAGCACAGCACTTTTGCCCTTTTCACCTCACACCCTCACCACTTCCTCACTCACTCCCTTCTCCCTCTCACTCACTCTGTGCTCCTCTTCCTCCTCTCTCCCATTCTCCCATCCCCATCTAACTCACTCCTCTCCCTTAACTCAACAGAACATTTGACACATTACCTCGCATTTGGCTCCTCCCTTCAAAGTCACAGCGATCCCCCCTTCAGCCATCTCGACCACCATTCACCGTCTCCTCACCACCAACTGCCACGTGGCAGTCTCTCCAGCGCCCACGTGGCGTTCCAGCGTGGGCTGCTGGCCGCCATCGCTGCTGCTGACGTGGCAGGGAGGGGCGTGGAGGCGGTCAGCGAATCAGGAGAGAGGAGGAGAGTGAGGGGGGTGGTTACGGGGGGAGGAGGGGGGAAGAGAATGCGGTTGGATAAGGGGGTTGTGGAGGGGAGGGGAGGAGGAGGAATTGTGCCTTTGCTGACAAGTGGAGAGGCGGAAGAGGGGCGAGTCAGGGGAGCAGGAGCGGGAGGAGGGGGAGAAACGGGAGAAACGAGAGCAGGAGAAATGGTGAGGGGCGCGGAGGTGGGTGGTGGTGAGAATGGGTGGATGCTAGGCAGCTGCGAGGGCAAGGAGAAAGGAGGAGCTGCGAGGCCAGAAGCGGAAAGGGGTCAGGGGAGCACGCCAAGGGGAGGGGAGTCAGGGAGCGGGGAAAGGGGAGGGGGAGGGGGAGGGGGAGGCGGAGGGGGAGGGGGAGGGGATGCGCAGGTGGGCGGACAGGTGGGCGCTGAAGAGCGTGGAGGGGAGGGGGAAGGGGCGGGGGGAGAGGTGGGGAAAGGGGGGAATGAGCGCAAGCGGAGGAGGGAGAGCGTGGAAGAGCAGAGAATGGGTGATGGGAAAGGAGAGGAGGGAGGTCGGGAAAAGGCAGATGGGAAGAGTGTAGATGGCGGGAAAGCAGATGGGGTGAGGGTGCGCGAGGGGAGTGTGGATGTGGCACGGGCAGGGAAAAGACGAAGGCAGGTGGAGGGGAGGGATGAGGGTAACGCGAATGTGGGGGAGAAGGAAAGGGATGGAGGGGATGGAAAGGGAGAGGATGGAAAGGGAGAGGATGAAAAGGGAGGGGATGAAAAGGGAGGGGATGAGACGAAGGAGACTGAAGTGGTGGAGGAGAGGAAAGCGAAGGAGAAAGCAGAGGTGAATGGGAAAGAGGAAGTGGAAGGGAAAGACGAAGTGGAAGGGAAAGAGGAGGTGAAAGGGAAAGAGGAGGTGAAAGGGAAAGAGGAGGTGAAAGGGAAAGAGGAGGTGAAAGGGAAAGAGGAGGTGAAAGGGAAAGAGGAGGTGAAAGGGAAAGAGGAGGTGAAAGGGAAAGAGGAGGTGAAAGGGAAAGAGGAGGTGAAAGGGAAAGAGGAGGTGAAAGGGAAAGAGGAGGTGAAAGGGAAAGAGGAGGTGAAAGGGAAAGAGGAGGTGAAAGGGAAAGAGGAGGTGAAAGGGAAAGAGGAGGTGAAAGGGAAACAAGGGACGAGAGGGAAAGCAGGTGGAAAGGGGAAAGCAGCAGAGGGAGGGCATGAGGCGGTGAATGAGAGAGCAGGAAGCGGGGAAAAGGAGGGCCTTGCACCACAGGGTGATGGGGTGAAGGGTGGTGGTGGTGGGGGTAAGAATGAGAAAGTGGTGAGTATGGTGAGGGATGAGAGTGGGGAGAGTGAGGAGGAAAGTGATGAGGGGAGTGAGACGGATGGTGAGGAGGAAGGAAAGAGGGAAGCGAAGGATATGGAGATTGAGAAAGAGGAATCAGAGGATGAGGGTTTTGAGACGTCTCAAAAATCTACTTTTATCACGAAGGATATGGCGATTGAGAAAGAGGAGATTGAGAGAGAGGAATCAGAGGATGAGGGAGATGAGGAGGACGAGGAGACAGAGGAGGAAGAGGAGGAAGAGGAGGAGAAAGAGGAGAAAGAGGGGGAAAAAGAGGAGAAGAAAGAGGAGGAGAAAGTGAAACTTTCAGAGGCGGAGGCGAAGGAGGAGGGGAAGAAGAAAGATGGTGATGATGATTCTGAGACAGAAGAGGAATCAGAGGAAGAGACAGAGGATGAGGCAGAGGAGGAGGCAGGAAAGGAAGGAAAGGTGAAAGAAAAGGAAGTGAAAGGGAAGGATAAGGGAAAGACAGACAAAAAGGAGGATGCTGAGGAGGAGGATGGGGAGGGGAAAGTGAAAAGGTCGGAGCCAAAGGCAAAGGATGAGGGGAGGACGGAAGATGGTGTTGATAATTCGGAGACAGAAGGAGAATCGGAGGAAGAGACAGATGAGGAGGTAGAAGAGGAGGCGGGAAAGGAAGGAAAGGCGAAAGAAAAGGAAGTGGTAGGGAAAGGTAGAGGAAAGACAGACAAAGCAGAGGAGGAAGAGAAGGGAGGGGAAGAGGAGGAAGAAGAGGAAGGAGAGGAGGAAGATGAGGAGGGGAAAGTGAAAGCTACAGGGGCAAAGTCGAAGGAGGAGGAGAAGATGGAAACTGGCGGTGATGATTCCGAGACAGAAGAAGAATCAGAGGAAGAGACAGAAGAAGAATCAGAGGAAGAGGAGGAGGATGAGGATGGGAAAGTGAAAGTTCCAGAGGCAGAGGGGAAGGAGGATGGGAAGACGGAAACTGATGGTGATGATTCTGAAACAGAAGGAGAGTCAGAGGAAGAAACAGATGAGGAGGTAGAAGAGGAGGCAGGAAAGAAAGGAAAGTTGAAAGAAAAGGAAGTGGTAGGGAAGGATAGAGGAAAGACAGACAAAGAGGAGGAGGACGAGGAGGAGGAAGAGGAAGAGGAGGAAGAGGAGGAAGAGGAGTCAGATGATGAGGTGGCAGTGTTGGAGAGCGGTGCAGAGGGAATCAAGGAGCGAACTGACAAGGCTCAGACGAGAGCGTCTTCTGCTGCTGCTGCTGCAAGCAAAGCATTGGCAACGAAAGGAGCCGCAAGCAAGGCGGACGGGAAAGGAGCAGACAGCAAAGCAGCAGCGGCAGGCAAAGCGGTAGAAGACAAGGAACTAGCAGTGAAGGCTGTGGGAGGCAAACAAGACGGAGCAAGCAAAGGAGCTGTCAGATCTGCTGCAGCAGGATCAGGAGGAAAAGCTGTTGATGCAAAGAGAGTGGGTGTTGCAATGATCAGTGGGGAAGAGGATGAGAAGAGTGAGGAGGAGAGTGAGGGGAGCGAGACAGAGAGTGAGGGAAAAGTGGATGAGGAGAAAGAGGGGAGCGAGACAGAGAGTGAGGGAGAAGCGGATGAGGAGAAAGAGGAGGAGAGTGAGGAAGAAAGTGAGGATGAGAGTGAGGAGGAGAGTGAGGAGGAGGAAGAGGAGAAGAATGACAAGAGCAAGAAGCAGGCCAGCACAAGAAAGGGAGCGGACACGGGCAAAGGAACAGTGTCAGGGTATGGCAAGGGAAAAGGGGCTGCAGGGAAGGGGAAGGCAGAGGGTTCAAGGAAGGCGGAGAGTGTGAGTGGAGCGAAGGAGGCAAGCAGAGGGAAGAAATGCCACGAGGGGGCAGCAGCAGCAGCAGCAGCAGCAGTAGCAGGCACAACAGCAGCAGGCACAACAGCAGCAGCAGCACAGACGGATGTGGGTGGCATGGGGGGGAGGAAGACGGGAGGGAAGCGAGGGGGTGGAGGCAAGAAGGCTGAGGCACGAGCACAAGGTGCACCCGCTGCCCCTACTTCCCCTGCCCCTGCCCCTGCCCCTGCCCCTGCTGCTGCTGCTGCTGCCCCTGCTGCTCCAGCTGTTGCAGCAGCCAAGGCTGCGAGCTCCGGGGAGGCTGCTCCTCTGGAAGCTGGAGGAGGAGGGGGGAGGGGGACGGGTAGGGGTAGGGGTAGGGGTAGGGGGAGGGGGAGGGGCAGGGGTGCTGTGAATCCTTCTGCCGATGTGCCTGCTGCGGCTGCTGCGGCTGCAACTGCTGCTACTGCTGGAGCCGCTTCTAGCGCAGATGTTCTTAATTCTGCTTCTGCCGATGCGGCTCCCCCAGCAGCAAAGAAGCGCGGTAGGCCTCGTGCTGCTGCTGCCCCTGGGTCTGCTGCAACTGCTGCTGCTGCTGCGGCCGCTGCAACTGTTGCACCTGTTAGTGGTGCACCTGCTGCTACAGCAGCAGGAGGAAAGGCATCAGGGAGAGGGAAGGCAGTGGGACGAGGAAAGGCAGCAGCAGAGGCAGGTAAGGCAGAAGCAGGGACAGCAGCAGCAGCAGCAGCAGGTGGTAACGCGGTTGCTGCTCCAGACACCGATACAGCATCCGTGTCATCACACGTACCCACAGCTGCTGCTGTGGATGGAGTGGGAGGAAACGCATCGGCAGAGGGGAGGGCAGGAGCAGGCGGGAAGGCAGCAGGTGGAAGGGGAAAGACGGCAGGCAAGGGGAAGGCAGCAGGTGCCGCTGCTGCTGGCAAGGCAAAAGGAGGAGCAGCAGCAGTAAAGGCGGGTGCGTCACGTGCAGCAGAGCCAGCAGGGGCAGGATGGGCAGAAGGGCCAATAGATACAGCGAACCCGACGGGTCCAAGAGTGCCTCTTCGAATGAGCGCACCACCAAGCGGCACCTTTCGTTACCCCCGAGCCACTTCCCCTATTGCCTCCACTGCCCCTCTTGCCTCTGCTGCCCCCTTGCCTCCACCCTCCCCCACGGCTGAGCCGCCCAGGTAACTTCCCCGTGCATCCAGGTGAGCCCTTTGTGTGTCCATCAACTTCCTTGTGCAGCCAGGTAACTTCCTCGTGCGCCCAGGTAACTTGCTCATGTGTCCACATAACTTCCTTGTGCAGCCAGGTAGCTTCCTTGTGCGCCCAGGTAACTTCCTTGTGTGCCCAGGTAACTTACTCGTGCATCCAGGTAACTTTCTTGTGTGCCCAGGAAACTTCTCGTGCATCCAGGTAGGTTTCTCATGTGCCCAGGTAACTTCCCCATGCGTCCAGGTAACTTCCTTGTGCGCCCAGGAACTTGTTTGTGGGCCCAGGAAACTTACTCGTCCGTCGAGGTAACTAAACCTCCTATTGCACCCAGGTAACTTGCTAATATCATCACAGGATGTAGCCATGTGCTATTTAGCCATGTAACCATGTGCCATGTTTTGTTACATTTTCATTGCATACCTTTCTTTTGTTGTTGCATTCCCGTTCCCCACTACCTTGTTTGCTCAGTGTATCTACTTGTTATGATGTAGTCGCATTTGCCATTCTATACCGTGTCACTTTTTCCCACGTGTTGTTTGAGCTCGCCTCACTGACTGCTTGGCTTGCCCCCCCCCCTTGTGGTTTCTCAACAGCCCTATGCCGGTCCTTGACCTGGGAGACATTCTTAAGATGATAAAGTAAACTGCATCAAGGCGCAATCTTGCTTCATAAGCGCCTGTTCAGAGGAGCACCCACGCACGCACCCAAGTAAATGGTGAACTCTGAGCATGTTCTTTTCTTTAGACATTGTTTGTAAACTTCGGGTCCAGACTGTAATGACGTGATGCAGTTATGGAGAGTGTGAAGTGTACTTCAATGCACATTGCAGATTCCAGTCGAAACACAAATAGTCATGGATGTAAGTGAGCTATTCAAAGGAAAGGAAATGTCACCAGATCATTATTGTGCCTGTGTGCGACCTTGTGCACCTGAGTGAAGATGGTGCTGGATGGGTGTGTGCTCTGATTCAGACAATACCTGGTTATTGGAGCCCCCTGAGGGTGGTTTAGCAGCCAATACACGCACTGCATGTCATGAAAAGGTATTTTTTTCGGGCGTTTGAGAGTTTACAAGAACTGTAGCCATCTCTTACAAACATCTGCTTGACAAGCTTTCAGAAAATGCTGCAGAAATTCTCTGCTTCACCAGTGTTGAGGAGGGTCGGCACGGCAGACACTCGAAAGGCAGTAAGCAGGTGGTGCAATCCTCTGCTTTTCCCCACAATGCACCGAAGCCCAACTTGGTGTGAGGGCAGGGCAGCCAACATGCCAGCTAAGGAGGTGCCACACCAGGGCTATCCAAACAAGGTGCAGTCAGCATCAGTCTGTCAGCACAAATACTTCCTGCTCTGCTTGCTGATGGAAGAAAGGGGAGAGAGATGGCCACATCTCAATTCTGATGTGCATAAAAAGCAGGCTTTGAACCTGACGTGAATCGAACACGCAACCTTCTGATCTGGAGTCAGACGCGCTACCATTGCGCCACAGATCCATGTCAGAAGGAAGGATAAAATATTTAATAATATTAATTTAAAACGCGTCGCGTTCACTCTGACCAGAAGCGTGTCCTCCCGCCCCGCCACAAATAACTGTTAGAACTCATGCTGCAATTCATCTCGAATTCACACAGATTTGTTGAGCCAAACAAATCAGCCACACACACTCTTATCCTCGTGTTTGAGCCCATCCCATTCCCGTACATGGCAGAAATGACCACCCGATCGAGCAAACTTTGACAGCAACGCGCAGATTTCACCGTGATGATGAAAATGGCGAGAGGCGAGAGCGCAATTCCATAGCCAGTTAAACAGGATCGTCATGGCATCGTCGCTTGGAGGTGCTGAAGATCCGAATTGCGAACTGAGAGGGACGAGCGAGCGACGTGATAAGAGGAGGCGAGAGAACGATAGGCGACAGGACAACGCCGACCCCGAAGGCAAGGACCTACATTCATAGCGGAGCCTGGTCTTACCGCGACTCTGTCCCTCAATTCTTGTTTGCGTGCCTCAAGGCACCCGAACTTCACTTCTGCTCAGCGAATAATTTCTCTCTCTCTCTCGCTTCGCACATTCAGTCAACTGGCAGTTTCCGTCCATCCCTTCCAATCTTTGTTAGTCTCTCCTACTCACCTTCATTCATCATCTCACAAGAATTAGAAGTTCTCTTTCTCCCACCTTCAATCCTAGTAGTCGTGGAAGCTAAATTCGCTCGTTTCCAGCATCGCAACTCAAATCATGTTCTCTCCCCGTCCCTTCGCTCCTTTCTTTCTCTTCCCTCGCCCGCTCGTCTCCCTCTCCCTCTTCCCCCCAATTCTCTCCCTCTTTCTTTCTCCTATCCCTCTTCCTCTCCCTCTTTCTCCCCTTATTTCTCTCCCTCTTTCTCCCCTTATTTCTCTCCCTCTTTCTTTCCCTATCTCCCTCTCGCTCATTCTCAGACCAGGGCAACGACCTGATCGACGCGCTACCAGCGGCGCTCTGGCACCGCATTTTCCACCTGCTGCTGGAGCGCCCCTGCACCGCCACCCCTCCGCACTCCGCGCGCGGCCGCTACTACTGCCGCGCGCGCAGCACGGCGCAGCGAGCAGAACCCAACTCCAGAGGCACTGGCGGTGGCGGCGGTGCTGGTAGTTCTACTGGCCGCAATGTCTCACGAGGCGCTGAGAATGGTTCGGCTAGAGTGGCACCGGTGCCCGTGTTCGTGAACGCCGGGGTGTCGCCGTGCTGGCTGCATGCGCGCAACGCTCGCACGTATGGCTCCTCGTGGCCTCTGCTGTGCTGCGCGCTCGCCAGCAAGAGATTTCTCCACCTCGTCGCCTCCTTCTCCGTGAGAACCATGCTCCTTCTCCACTCCCTCCACTCCCTCCACTCCCTCCACTCCCTCCACTCCCACCCTCCCTCCGCTCGCCAGCAAGAGGCTGTTCCACCTCGTCGCCGCCTTCTCCGTGCGTAGAGTGCTCCACTCGTTCTCTGTCCCTCCACGCCCTGTTCTCGCGACAGCTGCCCCTCCACACACTCGCATTTTCCATGTTGGTTCTTTTCCAGGGGCACTTGTCGTGTCTCGCTCCTTCACACTTCATTGCATTCTGAATCCTAGGTTAAATGCATAACTCTCTGTCCTTCACTCCCATGCATGGCAGCTTCGCACTCACAGATGCTCCTTCGAGCTCTCTCCCTCTCTCTCATTTTTCTGTGCATGCTGGAATCCCTCTTGATAGCCATCTTCATAACCATCTTGAAAAGCTCTAGTGCTCACTCCAAGCTTTTTTCCCTCCCTCCTCCCTCTCTCCCTCGCTCCCTCCCTCCCTCCTCCCTCCCTCCCCTCCCCTCCCCTCAACCACCAACCCCTCCCCTCAACCACCAGGAACAAGGCACGCCCATGAGTCTGCACCTCACAGCACGCCCATGAGTCTGCACCTCACAGCACGCCCATCAGTCTGCACCTCACAGCCGCCCAGCCCCAGTGGACCACCAGCATGCGCTGGCTGCTCTCCCGCTCCTCTCCCACCTTTCCTTTCCTCCGCCTCTCCTTCTCCCACCCCTCCCTCATCCCCCTCATTCGCCGCCCCTTCACTCTCCCCTCCTCTCCGGTCTCCTCCTCCCTCTCATCCATGCAACTAAGCTTGAGCATCAGAGAGAAATTCACAGAGGAGGATTACCGCCAGGGGGATTGGAATCCAGCCTTTCTCAAGACCTGCTCCTCTCTGCGTTCCCTGACACTCGGACGTGGCGTTTGGCGCTTAGGTAGAAGCTGCCTCACCGCACCCTGGATGCAGTCACTTCGGAGTTTGACTCTCAAGAATGTGGACCCCAGGGGAATATCTCTTAAAGCCCTGGCTGCCGTTTCCCCTCAGCTGCACGAGTTTTCGTTCTGCGAGCCGTGGAAGCTGGAGGAGGAGGGAGGGGAGGACTGCAAGGGAGCGGTGCTGCTAGCGCTCGAGTTCCCCAGGGCTCGCCGCCTCTCCTTCCGCTTCCTCAGTCACGAGCTCAAGCTGAAACTCGCCCTTTCTCATGACTCCCTCACCTCCTTCTCCGCCTGTGCCCAGTCCCTCACTCTCGCCTGCAGCTCTGCCCGCCCTCTCACGTTGACCCAGCTTTTGCTGTTTGGGGAAGAGTGGATTCATATCGCCTCCTTCAATGTTGCCTCTGTCCGTGCGCTTTACCTCAATGGTCCGATTAACCTGCTGCCGCCACGCCCCCACCGCATCCCAGCTGACGTTCGGAAAGCCATGGAGATCTGTGGAGACTCGTTTGTGTATCTTCCGCCACCGCAGCCGTTTGCATGGGCGGACTGGCTGAGGACACTCGCGCCAGCAGTGGAGCTGCTTATATCGAGGCACGACATCGACCTTGGCGCCTGCAGGTTCTCCTGGCCGCGGCTGCGGAGCCTCGGGATTGTCGTGGCGAGCGACTACGATGTGATGAACCCGGTGCGAGGGGAGATGGCGGTGGAAGATGTGGAGAGAGCAGATGGGAATGTGATCATCGAATGGACGAGAGCACAGAGGAGGAAGGAGAAGGCGGAGTGGAGGGAGACGGAGCACAGGATGAGGAATCAAGGGCTCACTCGGTTTCATGCAGGCCCGTTTGGCAACCAGCTTGGGGTTGACGATGATGATGATGATGATGACGATGTTTATGGTCCACTGGAGCGAGAGACGCCTTCACGCAGATCTGCTCCCACTCGACTGTACATCCCTCCGAAAATCCATGCTCCAAATCTGCGGGCCATCTTCTTTCCAACCCGCCGCAACACACCCCGAGCCTTGCTAGCAGACCTGAGGGCGAGACATCCCTCTCTGGCGCTGTACTGTGTTGCAAGGCACACGTGGTACTGGGAGAGGAAAGGGATGAGGGTAGAGGGTGGGCCGGTGACGCATGTGAGGGGGCTGAGAGGAGGGAAGAGCAGTGCGTCGTTTAGGAATGGGAGGAAGAGCGTGCGGGACAAGATGCACAGTGTGAATCGCGGGCTGATGGAGGGGTACACGCTGGATGAGGAGGAGTGGTTCATGGTGGAAAGACGGAAATGGAAGCCGGTGGTTGGTGCGGAGTATGAGCGGGAGAGGGATTGTGGTCGGGATAGCGATGGTGACGAGTTTGATGATGAGGAGGAGGAAGAGGAAGAGGTGGAGGAGGAGGATGAGGAGGATGAGGAGGATGAGGATGATGAGGATGATGAGGATGATGAGGATGATGAGGATGATGAGGATGATGAGGAAGATGAGGAGGATGAAGATGATGAGGATGATGAAGATGATGAGGATGATGAGGATGAGTAGGGATGAAGGGTGTAGTACCGCATAAGGAGTTGAAAGTGCATGCCTGGCACATTTTGCATTCCTTGCCAACTACAGTTCATTTGCCAGGCTCATCAACACTGCCTCCAAACTCGTCAAAGCTACCTCTGCCTCAACCTGGTAAATTGCGACAGTATATAGTAATCCGACATTATTCCATGCACTCTCAGAGACAATGTTGCAATGGAAGATGTGTGTTCAATAATAAAGGCAAAGGTTTTATGTTGTGAAAGTGCTTGAATTGGAGAATGACCCTGTTGGAGTGAATTTACACTGAGAGAATTATCTAATGTATTGGCATGTTATGCACCATAGATTTACAGCTGTATGTAAGCGTGCATAGTGATAGTTGAAGCAGCGGTAGCAGGGTTAGCAGTAGCGAGGAAGCGAGCCTAGCACGCACTTCCACTCTTGCCCCCAAAGCAAGGGAAGGGACTTAGGAGGTTAGGATCTTGTGATGCTCGTAGTAGGAGCTTCCGTTGCGCGCAGCCTCCAGTGCATGCAGCCTGCGCGGGTCGGCCCTTGACAGATTCTTTCCCGCCATGGCGACGGGCTCGCTGAAGCAGGTCGCCAAGTGTCGCCTTCGCGATCTTCTCGTCGCAAGCACCGCCGGTCGCACATTCGCGTCAACGCCAAGTCCTGTCCAAACCGCACTTCACCACGCGCGCGCTGATTCCGCCGCGCGCACTAAATCCGCCGCCACGAGCCCCTCGCCCGCTGTGCTCTCCGCCGGTACCACCGACTCTCTGCCGCCTGCCGCGTCGCAGCCCACGTCGCAATCCGTGTCGCTCAGGTTTCCCAGCGGATATGTTCAACACGCCGCCCGTCCGCCGCACGGCCGCTGCCATCCAGCTGTGCCTCCGCCGCTAGCCCCGCCGCTAGCCCCGCCGCTAGCCCCGCCGCTAGCCCCGCTGGGAGCCGTGTCGCGCACTCACGCACCTCACGCGCCTCACACGCTTTGGCCCGCCGCGCCACGCGCAGATTCCGCAGCAGCATCAGGCCAAAGCGTGTTCTGCGCACAACCACAAGCGGCTGCCCGCTGCCACCACTCTTCCGCCGAGCCGTGCCACCACGACGAGGCGTGCACAGAAAGCGGGGCCATGTCAGCAGCTGATGACGCGTCCGCGTGCTGGCTCTGTTCCGCCGATCGCGGCGCTGATGCGCGCGCGGGGGGAAAGGGCAACCCGTCCGCGGATGACATGCGCGCGGATGCGGAAGCGGAGGGCGCGAGGGGCAGGGGGGATGGCGCGAGCAAGCAGGGCGATCCGCTGACGTGGCGGTTCTTCTGCGGAACATGTGGCGCGCTGCAACCGGTGGACAAACGTACGGCCCTGTTCGAACTGTTCGGCCTGTGAGTGGTTCATTGATATTTGGATTGGATTGGATTGGATTGGATTGGATTGGATTGGATTGGATTGGATTGGATTGGCAGGCTGGCGTGCTTGCGATTGGGATTCTAGCAGCTCTACAAGCAGCTTTCTACAATATGCGCTCTATGTCCTTCTTGGCCCCCCTCCTGCGTCCCTCCCTTGCCCGGTGATGCCCCAGCCCGCTTGCATTCGCTATTGAAGCAGCCATGCAAGCATGTGCCTGTGATGCTCGCTCTTTCCCCCACCCTGCCTGCCCACCGCCCTCCAGTCCGCGTGCATCCGCCCTCGACCTGCCGCTACAAGCAGCTGCCCGATCTCAATCAACTTCCTCTGCTCTTTCCATTTCCCCCCACCGCTCCCCAAGCCGCGTGCATTCGCCATCGACCCTTTGCTCCTGGAGCAGCACTACAAGGAGATGCCCGACATGCTCCCCCATCCACTTGCTCCGCTCTTTCCATACACCGCCCCCCTCCTTTCATCTCGCTCTCCACTGCCCTCCAGCCCGCGCCACCCTCCTCTACCCTTCGCTCCTGGAGCAGCGCTACAAGGAGCTGCCTGACATGCTCCCCCAATCCACTTGCTCCGCTCTTTCCGTCCCCCCCGTCTCCCCTGCCCACCGCCCCTCAGTCCATGTGCATTTGCCATCGGCCGATCCCTACTGGAACAGCAGCTACAAGCAGCTACAAGCAGCTACAAGCAGCTACAAGCAGCTACAAGCAGCTACAAGCAGCTACAAGCAGCTACAAGCAGCTACAAGCAGCTACAAGCAGCTACAAGCAGCTACAAGCAGCTACAAGCAGCTACAAGCAGCTACAAGCAGCTACAAGCAGCTACAAGCAGCTACAAGCAGCTACAAGCAGCTGCAAGCAGCTACAAGCAGCTGCAAGCAGCTACAAGCAGCTGCAAGCAGCTGCAAGCAGCTGCAAGCAGCTACAAGCAGCTGCAAGCAGCTACAAGCAGCTGCAAGCAGCTACAAGCAGCTGCAAGCAGCTACAAGCAGCTACAAGCAGCTACAAGCAGCTACAAGCAGCTACAAGCAGCTACAAGCAGCTACAAGCAGCTACAAGCAGCTACAAGCAGCTACAAGCAGCTACAAGCAGCTACAAGCAGCTACAAGCAGCTACAAGCAGCTACAAGCAGCTACAAGCAGCTACAAGCAGCTACAAGCAGCTACAAGCAGCTACAAGCAGCTACAAGCAGCTACAAGCAGCTACAAGCAGCTACAAGCAGCTACAAGCAGCTACAAGCAGCTACAAGCAGCTACAAGCAGCTACAAGCAGCTACAAGCAGCTACAAGCAGCTACAAGCAGCTACAAGCAGCTACAAGCAGCTACAAGCAGCTACAAGCAGCTACAAGCAGCTACAAGCAGCTACAAGCAGCTGCAAGCAGCTACAAGCAGCTGCAAGCAGCTACAAGCAGCTGCAAGCAGCTACAAGCAGCTGCAAGCAGCTACAAGCAGCTGCAAGCAGCTACAAGCAGCTGCAAGCAGCTGCAAGCAGCTACAAGCAGCTGCAAGCAGCTACAAGCAGCTGCAAGCAGCTACAAGCAGCTGCAAGCAGCTACAAGCAGCTACAAGCAGCTACAAGCAGCTACAAGCAGCTACAAGCAGCTACAAGCAGCTACAAGCAGCTACAAGCAGCTACAAGCAGCTACAAGCAGCTACAAGCAGCTACAAGCAGCTACAAGCAGCTACAAGCAGCTACAAGCAGCTACAAGCAGCTACAAGCAGCTACAAGCAGCTACAAGCAGCTACAAGCAGCTACAAGCAGCTACAAGCAGCTACAAGCAGCTACAAGCAGCTACAAGCAGCTACAAGCAGCTACAAGCAGCTACAAGCAGCTACAAGCAGCTACAAGCAGCTACAAGCAGCTACAAGCAGCTACAAGCAGCTACAAGCAGCTACAAGCAGCTACAAGCAGCTACAAGCAGCTACAAGCAGCTACAAGCAGCTACAAGCAGCTACAAGCAGCTACAAGCAGCTACAAGCAGCTACAAGCAGCTACAAGCAGCTACAAGCAGCTACAAGCAGCTACAAAGCAGCTACAAGCAGCTACAAGCAGCTACAAGCAGCTACAAGCAGCTACAAGCAGCTACAAGCAGCTACAAGCAGCTACAAGCAGCTACAAGCAGCTACAAGCAGCTACAAGCAGCTACAAGCAGCTACAAGCAGCTACAAGCAGCTACAAGCAGCTACAAGCAGCTACAAGCAGCTACAAGCAGCTGCACTGCAGAAACCTCTTTCTTGATATATGCCCTCCCGCACTATTGCTCCCCCTGCTTGCGTCCCTCCCTTTCCCTGCTCTTGCGTCCCTCCCTTTCCCTGCTCTTGCGTCCCCGGTGCTGCCCCAGCCCGCGTGCATTCGCCATCGACCTATCACTGTTGGAGCAGCGCTACAAGCAGCTGCCTAAGCAGCTACCTATCCCTGCCTGACCTATCCACTTGCTCCGCTCTTTCGTCCCCACCTTCTCCTCTTTCGTGCCCACCTTCTCCTCTTTCGTCCCCACCTTCTCCTCTTTCGTGCCCACCTTCTCCTCTTTCGTGCCCACCTTCTCCTCTTTCGTGCCCACCTTCTCCTCTTTCGTCCCCACCTTCTCCTCTTTCGTGCCCACCTTCTCCTCTTTCGTGCCCACCTTCTCCTCTTTCGTCCCCACCTTCTCCTCTTTCGTGCCCACCTTCTCCTCTTTCGTCCCCACCTTCTCCTCTTTCGTCCCCACCTTCTCCTCTTTCGTCCCCACCTTCTCCTCTTTCGTGCCCACCTTCTCCTCTTTCGTCCCCACCTTCTCCTCTTTCGTCCCCACCTTCTCCTCTTTCGTCCCCACCTTCTCCTCTTTCGTCCCCACCTTCTCCTCTTTCGTGCCCACCTTCTCCTCTTTCGTCCCCACCTTCTCCTCTTTCGTGCCCACCTTCTCCTCTTTCGTCCCCACCTTCTCCTCTTTCGTGCCCACCTTCTCCTCTTTCGTGCCCACCTTCTCCTCTTTCGTGCCCACCTTCTCCTCTTTCGTGCCCACCTTCTCCTCTGCCCACCTTCTCCTCTGCCCACCGCCCTGCAGCCCGCGTGCATTCGCCGTCGACCTATCACTATTGGAGCAGCGCTACAAGCAGCTGCAGAAGATGCTGCACCCGGACCTGCATGGGGGCAGATCAGAGGTGAGAAAGGGGGGTGAGAAGCGGGGAGTAGGGGGAGAAGGGGAAGGGGAGGTGCGTGGGTTCTCTCCTTCGCAGCAGCTGCAGAAGATGCAGCACCCGGACCTGCATGGGGGCAAGTCGCAGGTGAGAAAGGGGGAGGGGGAAGGGGGGTGAGGCCTGGGTGGGATGAGGGAGGGGGGAGGGGAAGTGCATGGGGCATTCTCCTTCACAGCAGCTGCAGAAGATGCAGCACCCGGATCTGCATGGGGGCAAGTCGCAGGTGAGAAAGGGGGAGGGGGAAGGGGGGTGAGGCCTGGGTGGGATGAGGGAGGGGGGAGGGGAAGTGCATGGGGCATTCTCCTTCACAGCAGCTGCAGAAGATGCAGCACCCGGATCTACATGGGGGCAGGTCGCAGGTGAGACGGCGTGAGGTGTGGGGGAAGGGTGGGGGGAGGAGAGGTGGTTAGGTATTCGCTTTCCTCATCCGGACGTTCATGGGGGACAAAGGAAGGGGGGCGAGGGGCATGGGTGCGCTCCTTGGTAGCAGCTGCACAGCAGCCGGACTAGCACAGGGACAAGTCGGAGGTGAGGTGTGCAATGGGGGAGGGCGTGGGGGCTAGTGATGAGTTTTTCAACAGCTTCAAGGGACCAGGGGACCGTTTTTCGCGAGCTTCTAGTATGTGCACACGCTGTCAAAAGAGGACAGGTGGGCTGCGAAGGTCTAACTTTCATCAAATCTTGCTGTATTAGAACAACGCGAGCTTCGAGTATGTGCACACGCGGTGAGTTTTGAGTCGACTCAAAAGTCTCCCCGTTTTCCTGCAAGCTTCAAGTATGTGCACACGCCCTTGGTAACAGCTGCAGCTGCAGCAGCCTCATCTCTTGCTTTGCAATTGACGCCATGCATGCATGCATGTGGATGGGTGGCATGGGTTTGAGATTTTGAATGATGGTTGACGGGAATGGATGATATTCGTGTGTGTGCATTTTCATGTGCATGCTTATGGCATGCGCGCATGCCTGGGCACATTCACGCCCATGATGGGCATGAATGATGGTTGGTGGGCATGAATGATTGTTGGTGGGCATGTATGATATCCATGCGCGTGTGCATCTGCATGTTTATGTGCGTATGCCTGGGCAAGTTCACGTGCATGTGTGTGTGCGTGTGCGCATGTATGTGCATGTGCGTGTGCATGTGCATGTGCGCGTGCATGTGCGCGTGCATGTGCATGTGCGTGTGCATGTGCATGTGCATGGGTGGGCGCGTGTGTGTGTGCGTATGCTTATGCGTGGGCATGTGCAGGAGGAGAGGGCACTATCAGCGGAGCAAGCAGCGCATGTCATAGACGCCTACTACACGCTCCTCAGGCCACTCTCTCGCGCCAAGTACCTTGTAAGGCCCCCCATCACCTCACTTCCCACATGCAATGCGCCCACTACTCTGGCAGCAGCACAGCAAGCAGCGCATGTGATAGAGACGCCTACTACACGCTGCTCAGGCCGCTCCTCTCGCGCGCCAAGTACCTCGTGAGCCCGCCTGCTGTGCCTCATGCCTCTTGCGCCGTGCCCCCTCACTTCCCATGTGCTTCACTCCAGCAGAGCTAGACCGCTACCAGCCCTCGCTTCGCCCTCGCTTCGCCCTCTCTTCGCCCTCACTTCGCCCTCACTTCGCCCTCACTTCGCCCTCACTTCGCCCTCACTTCGCCCTCACTTCGCCCTCACTTCGCCCTCACTTCGCCCTCACTTCGCCCTCACTTCGCCCTCACTTCGCCCTCACTTCGCCCTCACTTCGCCCTCACTCCGCCCTCACTTCGCCCTCATTCCGCCCTCACTTCGCCTCCTCTCATCCCCCATCGCCATTCGCCCCTTCCCCCTCCCCCCTTCCACCCCCCGCCCCTCCCATCAGCTCCGGGCTAGCGGTGTGACAGCAGCAGAGCTGAGTGGGGACAGGCCTGGCTCTCTCCCCTTTCGCCCTCCCTCGTTTCTCCAGTTCGCCTCCTCTCATCCCCCCTTTCACCCCTCACCCTCACCCCGCCCCTCCCATCAGCTGCGAGCTAGCGGCGTGACAGCAGCAGAGCTGAGTGGGGACAGCCCGGGGCGGGACCAACAGCTGCTCATGGAGGTGCGGGTGCTAGGGGGGGAAAGGGTGCTGGTGCTTATCGGTGGGATCGGGTGTCGGTGGGGAGGGCGGTGGCGGGGAGGGCGGTGGCGGGGAGGGTGGTGGCGGGGAGGGTGGTGGCGGGGAGGGCGGTGGCGGGGAGGGTGGTGGCGGGGAGGGTGGTGGCGGGGAGGGTGGTGGCGGGGAGGGTGGTGGCGGGGAGGGTGGTGGCGGGGAGGGTGGTGGCGGGGAGGGTGGTGGCGGGGAGGGTGGTGGCGGGGAGGGTGGTGGCGGGGAGGGTGGTGGCGGGGAGGGTGGTGGCGGGGAGGGTGGTGGCGGGGAGGGTGGTGGCGGGGAGGGTGGTGGCGGGGAGGGTGGTGGCGGGGAGGGTGGTGGCGGGGAGGGTGGTGGCGGGGAGGGTGGTGGCGGGGAGGGTGGTGGCGGGGAGGGTGGTGGCGGGGAGGGTGGTGGTGTCACCCCAGCAGAGCTGAGTGGCGACAGGCTGGGGCGGGACCAGCACCTGCTCAGGGAGGTGCGCGGGTGCTTGGGGGGAAAGGGTGCTTGTAGGGAGGGTAGGGTGCTTGTGGGGAGGGTGTCGGTGTGACAGCAGCAGAGCTGAGTGGGGACAGCCCGGGGCGGGACCAGCAGCTGCTTATGGGAGGGTGCATGTGTGCTTTGGCGGGGAGGGTGCATGTGTGCTTGCGAGATCTGACCCTTCAAAGCGGCTTGGGATTCGCCACTCATTCAGTGTGTGCCACCCCTCTGCCCCGCTGATGCATGTGTGGCGGTGCGGCAGGTGATGGAACTGAGGGAGACCGTTGAGGACGCTGACAGCCCCGAGGAGCTGCAGGCGCTGCAGTCGCAGGTGGGGAACGGAGAAGAATGGGGGAGAAGGGGAGGGGTTTGGTCTGGGATGGTGGGGGGAGGATGGGAACAGGAATTGCCTGTATTTTTGGTGACGCAGATCTGGGTGGTCAGTGGGGAAGGCTTCTCTGTCAGTATTTCGAGGGCGAGGTGACGTGAGGTGAGGTGAGGTGACGTGAGGTGAGGTGACGTGAGGTGAGGTGAGGTGAGGTGAGGTGAGGTGAGGTGAGGTGAGGTGAGGTGAGGTGACGTGAGGTGAGGTGAGGTGAGGCGTGGAAGAGACAGGTGTTGAGGTAAGACGCGTGTGTTGTTGTTGCTCAGGCAGTCAAAACCAGTTCGGGGTAGACACGATAAGGAGAGTTGCCACTTTGTTGGACTCACTGGTTCTTGTGCGCGTGACAGAGCAGCCTGAACCATCTCAGAGGCCACATGTATGTCACTCACTTCTGCTTCACAACTCCTCTACGAATCTCCTCTTTTTGAGGTGCCTCAAAAATCACAATTCATGTACGAGTCTCCTGTTTTCCTGTTTCGGTTTCCCTCTTTCCCGCGTGTCTTGCATGTGAAGACCCAGGAGAGAATGGAAGGGCTGTACAGCAGCTTTGACGATGTGTTTCGGAGGGGCGATGTGGGAGCATGTGTGGGGCTGCTGCACCGCATGGCATACTTCCAGCGCGTAGCCAATGAGATTGACAACCGGCTGCACTCTATGTAGCTCCTGAACAACTCACTGTTGACTTGCATATCTTATTATGGGGCAAAGTACCGTACAACAAGGGTGTGTGTGGGGCTGCTGCACCACATGGCTTCAACGCGTGGGCAATGAGATTGACAAGCGTCTGCATTCAATGTAGCGCTCCAGAACTCCTCATTGTAGCCTTGCATTATCGTAGAGAAAGGCACTGAAGCTAAAGTATGTGTATTTGGACATTTTAATATACACACACCTTTAATTGGAGCTACAGAAAAGGAAGGAGCTGAACATTTAAAACAGAAATATATAATAATGAACCATGTCCCATCTTGAAAGTGGGATCTCCTTTGTTGCATGTTTCGTGCTACACCTGCATGACTCTTGCCATGCGATGGTTTCGATCGCCAGGCCAAAATTGGTTTCAAGTTGGAATTGGGTTTCATGATAGCTGCTCTCCATCTCGTAATCACTAGTTTTATTCCTAGCATATTTTAGCTGACAACAATAGGTGTTGTGGCCAAGGTAAAGAACTATCGACCCTGCAGGAATGCGTAAGACTGCTACGTAGTACAGTATCGTAATTTTATTCCCTTCCGTAGGTGATCGCCACCCTTCCGCAGGTGCTAGTTTCCTGTATCGCGCCTTCGCCATCTCCCCTACCCTCCAGTCGTTCGTCCACTGTCCGCTCCCCTCCCATCACCTTCGTGGATCTCTCGGTCAAACTGTATATGTTATACTTGATTATTTAGGCAGTAGTGGGGTAGCCAATGTAGGGTACAACCCCTTAGGGTTTCCTCTTGTACCAAAATTCTCTCGATAGTCATCATCATCCTAGCTACCTATTGAACATGGTATTGAGAGCATGTAGGGTCTTAGGACCTTAGGACGACTTTTTTTTCGGGCCCACCACCTACCACCTGCCCGTGTCGCGCTACCCCGCGCTCTGCCCTGCCCCAGTCCCGCGTGCACCTCGCTAGCAGCCCGTACGGCCCGCGCGTCGCCTCTGCTGGCCCGCGCGCCGTCTGCTAGTAGCCCGCGCGACCCGCGCATTGTTTGCGCAGCCCGTGCACAGCCCCTGCTAGCTCGCGCGCCGCCCACCTGCTAGCCTGCGCGCCCTGCGAGCTGCCTGTCGCGCTGCCACGCAACCCCGTGCGCCTGCCCTGCTGCTGCTGCAGCTGCCTGCTACGTCCTGCGCGCGGCCCGCCCTGCTGCCTTGCCGGCCGTCTGTAGCCCCCCGCGCCGCCTGTAGCCCCGCGCGCCGCCTGCCTCTGCCGCGTTTGCCTGCTACGCCCCGAGCGCCACCTGTAGTGCTCCCCTGCAGCCCCGTGCGCCGCCTGCCCTGCTGCCGCGGCTGCCTGCTGCGCCCTGCCCTGGGCGCCCTGCCCGCGCTGCCATGCGCCCTGCCCGCCCTGCCATCGCTGCAGCCGCTGCTACGCTGCTGCTGCTGCCAGCGCCGCACTGCCTCGCCGTGCCCGAGCCGCGCCACGCTGCCTAGGGGCCTGGCATTAGGTTGCTACTGCTGCTTCTACCGTTGCTGCCACGCGTGCTATTGCTACTGCTACTGCTGCTTGCCTGCAATCGCTCTGCGCTGCTAGTCCCGCACCAGCTGCTATGGCCACCCACCTCTGCGATGCCGAGGCCCGCCCCATTCAGTTCGAAACCTGGCTAGATGACCTGCAGCTGTTCCTAATGTGCGATAGCAAGAACGATGTCTCTCTTAATGACCACACGTCAGGTGCCTCAGTCGCTCCCGCTGCCACCGCTGAGCTTAGCGTCCGTTCCCAGTGGCAGACTCGTGATGCTGCTGCGCGCCTAGCTGTTCGCAATCATCTTCCGTTAGCTGAGCTTACGCATTTTGGCGAGCACAAGACCGCTAAGGCCCTTTACAACGTTGTAGTAGCTCGATACTCCTCCCCTGCCACAGCTGAGCTTAGCCGCCTCATGCTGCCCTACCTGTTTCTTGAGCTGTCCACGATTGCCACAGTTGTCGATCTCATTACCCACCTTCGCACTAGTGACACCCGCCTTCGCGCCGCCCTCCCCAAAGACTTCTGTGCTAAGCACCCGCCTCCGATGAACTGGACACTTCACTTCATAGTCACCCATCTCCTTGATGCTCTTAGCTCAGCCCGAGACCACTTTCTCGCTCGTTGTCCCACTGAACTCACTATCGACCTCCTAGAGCAGCACCTCCTTGCAGCAGAGAAGAGCATTGTCGCTATAGCTGCTGCTCGTGGCGCTCCTCGCACCCCCATATTTGAGGGGTGCTCTCCCTCTCCCCTCGCCCCCTCCTTCGCTGCTGCTGCGCTGTTGACCTCCTTGGTGCTGAGTCTGCTGGTGCTGCTTCTGCTCCTGGTGGGAGGCGCCACAACGGCAAGGGCAAGGGAGCCAAGGGTAGCGGAGGTGGCACCGGGGGGGGTGGTGGTGGAGACGGTGGAGGAGGAGAAGGTGGCGGAGGGAGTGGTGGCGGGAGTGCTGGCGGGAGTGGTAGCGTCGGCAGCGGCGGTGGAGGCGATGGAGGCGGTGGCGGCGGAGGGGGTGGCAGCGGCGGTGGCAGCGGCGGTGGCGGCAGGGGCGGTGGTAGCGGTGGAGGTGGCGGTCGGGGTGGAGGCACGGGCGCTGGTCAGAGATAGCAGCAGCAGCAAATTCCCCAGACGACCCAGCAGCTTCGTGAGTGGCTTGCTCAACGTGGGAGGTCTGGGGGTGGTGGTCGCTGCCCGTATGTCATTCGCACAGGTGACCGCAAGGGTCAGATATGTGGGAAGTTTCACACCCAGCACCGCTGCTTCTCCCGCCTTGACGACGCCTGGCGTGAGGAGATGGGCGAGGACGCTAAGCGCCCTCGCTGGTACGGGCTGCTTAAGGGTGGTGTAGACATCTTTGCTCTTGACTATGATGCTATTATTACTGCTATGTATGCATTGGAGATTAGTGCTGAGGGAGACTATTACTTGTGTGTGCCGCCTGACCCCGGTATAGAGACTGGTACTCTAGGTGCCTGCTGAGGCCTTGCACACCTTCACGCTTGACTCAGGTGCTTCCCGCTACTTCTTTCGTGATAGTACTGCACTCACACCACTCCCTGCACCTGCTGCAGTCTCTCTGGCTGACCCCTCAGGGGGCCCAGTTCTTGCATGGTCCACCACTGTGCTCCCGTGCCCGGCGGTTCCGTCTGGCTCACTATCAGGTCTCCACCTCCCCTCATTCTCTACGAACTTGGTGAGTACTGCTGTCCTCTAAGATGCGGGGGTTGACACCTTCACCCCTGGTCGGCAGCGTGTGGCGATCTATACGTGCTCCCAGACCGGCCGCCACCTAGCCACGTTTACCCGTCGGCCAGGGTCGAGTCTTTACACACGGTCGACTGCGCCTCCTCAAGTATCTGCTACTGGTCAAGTGTTTGTGTTAGGTCAGGTAGCCTCCCCTTGTAAGTGTCGCTCCCTGTCGCACCAGACTCTTCTCTGACACCACCGCCTGGGTCACCCCTCCTTGCCACGTCTCCGTGGCATGCACCATTGCCTCCTAGTGTTTGGTCTTCCCAGGTCTCTCCCTCCCCTCCCTGCTTCGCCAGCGTCACCCTGCCTTCCTTGCGTCGAGGGGCGGCAGCGCGCCGCTCCTCACGCCTCCTCGTTTCCCCCGACAGAGGCTCCTCTACAGACCCTCCACCTGGACGTGTGGGGTCCAGCCCGCGTTCGTGGACAGGAAGGTGAGTGGTACTTTCTGCTGGTTGTGGACGACTACTCGCGCTACACCACGGTCTTTCCTTTGTGCACCAAGGGTGAGGTCCCTCCTGTCTTGATCCCTTGGATCCAAGCAGTTCATCTCCAGCTCCACCGCAGGTTCTGCCAAGACCTTCATGTCCTGCATCTGCACTCTGACAGAGGTGGTGAGTTCACCTCCGACCTCTTGCAGGCCTTCTGTCAGGTGGAGGGCATCGAGCAGTCGTTCACGCTTCCGGGCTCACCGCAACAAAATGGGGTTGCTGAGCGCCGCATTGGCTTGGTCATGGATGTCGCTCGTACCTCCTTGATCCATGCGGCGGCTCCCCATTTCCTATGGCCGTTTGCATTCCGGTATGCCGCGCAGCAGCTCAACCTCTGGCCCCATGTCTCCATGCCGGAAACCTCGCCCACATTGCGTTGGACGGGAGAGGTTGGCGATGCGTCGCGTTTCCGGGTGTGGGGTGCTCGTGCCCTTGTCCTCGATACGTCCGCGTACAAGCTCTCCTCTCGCACCATTCCCTGTGTTTTCCTTGGTGATGTCCCTGACGCACTTGCATGGCAGTTTTACCACCCCACCTCGCACCATGTCCTGCCCTCTTAGGACGTCACCTCTGACAAGTCGGTTCCTTTCTACCGTCTCTTCCCCTACCGCACTACCCCTCTCCCTCCCCCGCTGCTTTTCCTCGCTCCAGGTCCCCCTCCGGTAGACCCCCTCCCCCCTCAGGGTCCTCCTCCTTCAAGTGTGTCTCAGGTAGACCCGCCCCCCTTGGCTGAGCCTGTAGAGGTCACTAGCGATACAAGTGCTGCTGGGGGTGCTGCGTCTGGGGGTGCTGAGCCCGCGCATGAGGTGCGGGGGAGTGCGGAGCCTGGGGGTGCCGAGCCTGCGGCTGCGGAGCCTGGGGGTGCTGAGCCTGTCCGTGAGGTGCTGGGGGGTGCGGAGCTTGGGGGTGCTGAGCCTACGAGTGCGGAGCCTGGGGGTGCTGAGCCAGAGGGTGACAGGTCGGGGGGTGCTGAGTCCGCTGGCGTTCCTCTGGGTCTCATTTCCCGGCGCGGGCCTATCTCACCACAACAAGCACGAGAGTGGCTTGCGTCTCGTACCCGCCTGAGGAGTCGTGCTGCTGGAGCTGCTTGTCGTGGAGGCGCTGGGATTCTTGGTGTCTCTGGTCCTGGAGGTGCTCGTACTGGAGGTACTGAAGCTGCCGGGACTGGTACTGCTCCTAAAGCTGAAGCTGTCGGCTCTGAGGGTGCTACTACTGGAGGTACTGTGGCTAGAGGCCCTGGAGCTGGTGCTGTCGACCC